GTCTGCTTCTCCCTCTGACCCTCCCCCCTCTCATATGCTCTCTCTCTCATTCTCTCTGTCTCAAGTAAATAAAAAATAAAATCTTTAAAAAAGAAAACTAAGGAAATCTCAGTGCTCTTGCCATAATGGTTCCGTAAAAGATTAAAGCAGGAAAAATTCCCTTACAGGGTGGCCCATGTTAGGGAACGTTTGAATAGAAAATGAGGAGAGTTTAACTTAAAAACTATTAGTATCCTTTGCCTTCCCTCACAGCCTTGCTGAGATGGGCAGTGGAAGTTCTCCTGGGCTTCTGCCCCCGAATGTTCTTCCCTCCAGATTCTCCCATTGCACCCAGATGCCCCCACCCTCCCCAGGGCTAGACGCTTCACAGAGCTTAGCTTATCTGGCTGTAGAGACAGCCTGTAGAGAGGGGGCTGCTGTGCCCGTCGTCCAGACGGAGCCTGAGACTCAGAGGAAGTGAGGCCAAAGCAGGCTATAAGACAGCGAGTAAGACAGCTAATAAGAGGCAGAGCATGTCTGGTGTCACGGCCCCATGGCTCAAGCTGTTTCCCCCTGAAGCCTCACACGGGGACAGACCCACTCAGTTCACGACAGTGGGTGGTGAGCAATGTTTATTCAGAATGCCCACGTGTCTCAGAGGAGTAACTTGCATTTTGTGTCTTCACTCCCCTCTCCCATCTTTGCTCCCTTTCGAACTCCTCAGCAGGTCTACCAACAATGAGGCTGACCCCAAGGGGGGCACCCAGAAGCCCTGTAGCTTAAGATGTTCCCCTGTAAAAAGGGGCTCCCTGGTCCAATCCCGAGGGGGTCTTTAGATTCAGAATCTGCTGGCCTAGGCAGAGCCCAGGGAGCACAGTGCGCTGTGTGTTTCAGATGAGGTGGTGAGTTGGTGCACAGCGATTCTGTGTGTGTACATTTACTCACCACACAATGCCGGTAATTGATCAACTCAAGGCATGAATTTCGCTCCAGAACCACAAGGTAACAGAAGATAGAGAGAATGCGGTGAAAGCCACCACCAACCATGGAGGTGGGGGAGGAGGAGAAATTAGGGACCTGATAATAAAGTAAAACTATGATAATCCATAAACCAAAATGCTGCCTTTCTAGAGATTGAGAGAGGTCAAGCTACAAGTTTTAAAAATAAAAGAAGCAAAAGAGAGGCCCATTTCAAAGCCTTCTTACGTAACGCCTCCACAGCAGCACACATCCTTGATTGAAACCTGGCCCTCCTGTTCCCCAGTGCCCTCCGGTTAACCTTTTAAGTAATCAGCATCTCCAGTAATCCCTTCTGCGGTGCACAGGAATTCATCTTGTCATGGGGAAACTTTTGGCTTAAGGCTGTACACTCTTTAGAAAATCCCTTTTCTTGTCAAACAGGACATTTTTATTCCAAGTGGAAGAACCTTATCCATTATATTTCTAAGGCATATTTTCAGAAAAATTTTCAGTCAAAAATCATACAGGTTCATTGTAGATTAGGAAAATCAAGAAAAGTGTTGTTTTAAAATCCCATTCTTGGGGCGCCTGGGTGGCTCAGTCGTTAAGCATCTGCCTTCAGCTCAGGTCATGATCTCAGGGTCCTGGAATTGAGCCCCGCATTGGGCTCCCTGCTCAGCGGGGAAGACTGCTTCTCCCTCTTCTGCTCCCCCTGCTTGTGTTCCCTCTCTCGCTGTCTCTCTCTCTCTGTCAAAATAAATAAATAAAATCTTAAAAAAAAAAGATAAAAAAATAAAATAAAATCCCATTCTTAATTCTACCATCAAGAAATAACCACTGTTATATTTGGTGTAGTTCCTTTCAAATTTGCAATCTATAGAGAGAGAGGAGGGGAGAGAGATAGTTTTTAAAATAAAAATTGGAATTTTATTATATGTACTGTCTTATAGTCTGCTGTGGGTTTTTTGTTTTTTGTTTTTAGTAACATAGTTATTGAACAAATGTTAATTGAGCACTTGCTGTGTGCCAAGAACTATGCTGGCTACCAGGCATAGAACAGTGAAAAGAGACACGGTCCCTCTCAAAGTAAGTGCAGAGGGTCATGGGAAAGACAAATACTAAATAAACAGTGGCATACATAAACATACAGTTTATCACAAATGCTATGAAAGGGAAGGATAAGGTGCTATGCAATCATGTAGTAAAAAAAATCCCGGTGGGACATATATTGTTTACCTCTTCAGGATCTATTCCTCCTGCTTCCTGCACTCCCAGGTTAGCTTTGGGACCCGACCCACACGTGAACTCTTAGTCTTAGGGGTGGCACCTGACCTAGTCCTAGTCAGTCAGAGCATTCATTGTCACAGTGACAATGACTGGTTTTAAAATAGGCAAATACCTGGAGTCAAGTAACCCAAGTTAATTGGACTGAATTCTGGGACACTGTTTGGAATCCTCTTGGAGAAATCTATCCCCTCTTCCTACTGGGTTTGAAGGTGAATGAGGTAGCTGGAACTGCTGCAGCCATCTTAACACCATGAAGGTTGAGCTTTGCCGTGGAAGCAAGGCCAAGGAAATGGGGCCTAGATGTGGAGAGAGAATCAGGTCCGGTGACTTTTTCTGTCCTGAATCGAGCCTGAGCTAACCTTGGGTTTTGCGGCTATCTGAACTAGCTTGAATTGTCACAGTTTGGGGTAATTAAGATGATTGGGGATGTAAAGGTTTTCCTGAGGAGAGGAGGTGTAAGGTGAGATCTGAGGACTGAATCAGAGTAAAGCTGGCTTGGACCAGGAGGGAGGTGAGGAGCACAACTGAAGCAGAGGGAATAGCACGCAAGCTGGAGAATACTGGAACAAGAAAGCTTGAGTGTGGGGAGGGGCAGATCACGTAGAGCCTTGGGAGTCACTTTAGGGGTTCGGAATATGAGACCAAGAAATGAGAAACCACTGAAGGCTTACAAGCAGAGAATTGTCCAGATTATGTTTTAAGGATGTTTATGAATAATCCCATTTGCTGCAGTGTGGAGAACCGCACTGAAGGCAGACGAGAGAGGACATAGGGAGACTTACTTGAGAGCCTTTGCAATATTTCAAGTGAGAGATGATATTGTGACTTCGACCAGGAGGGTTATAATGGATTTTTTACTTCATATTATTTTGTGAGAATTTCTCAACATCAATTTCTAATTTAAAAAAAAAATGATACTTAGAGGACATAGAAATAGCCCATTCTTGGGCTAGTCATATTCTATTTCCTTATAACTGATACATAATGAAATTCTTGGAATCTAAGTCCTTACAACTAAATACTGAGATTGCTTCTGGTTTTTATTTGATAAACATCACAATGGAAATCTTGTACATAAAGTTTCGGTCCAAGCTTCTGATTACATCAGAATCAATCCATAAAATTCAAATGACTGGTTAATTAAAAGAGTAAACCGTTTTCAGGCCTCTCTCTATATATACCCATCCATCTAGAAAGATTGTACCAATTTACACTGATACGCATTCCCAGCAGTAATAAACAACTCTTCAGTTAAGAATGCATTTCAATATAAACAGAGTTCCAGCTGAATTTAGCTGGGGAAAACTCACAACTTGGCTGGCCAGTCTCACTTTACGTTCATGCCCACAGATTTAAATAGGTCTTTGGGCCTGCGGGCAGGCTCACCAGTCACTTGGCTGCTCTCTCCTGGAGGAAGTATCTTCCACCTTCCCTTCTTGCCTCCCTCTCTGAAAATGGAAGCAATCAGAACAGAACTGCCTCATCCTCAAAACACCACGTGGCTTCCCGCCTTCCCCCACCTCTGGCACTTGCTCAACCCTCCTGGGACCACCCTGACAGCCAGCCCAGCTAGTCCCCTCGGGCATGAGGTCCCCTGCCCCACAGAGCGAAGATGTCCTTCTGCACCTGCCACCCTCTTCTGCGTCCCACCTCCTCCCCTCCCCCGGTGAGCACTCCCATGCCATGTGCAAACGTGCAGGAATTCCCTCCATCCTTGAAAAACAACCCAAAACTTCCTTGGGTATCACATTCCCTTCTAGCTGCCACCTCTGTCTCGGCTCCCCTGTTGGACATGCCTTTGAATAGTTCGCTGTTACTCTGTCTTCATGTCCACACATCCCAGATTCTTTTGAACCTACTTCCGTTAGGTTTTTGGGCCTGCCAAGACGCGTTGATCCAGATCACCAATGAGCTCCTCGTGCCCAACCCAGTGGGGGAGCTCTGATCCGCATCCAGCTCCGTCCATTAGCAGCGTTGGATCAAACTGCTCATGACCTCCTCCTGGAAACTGTGTACTTGGCCTCCAGGACACCACTTTCTCGGCTCTCCTACCTCATTGGCCGTGTCCTTTTTTGCCTTTGCTAAACTCCCCCCACCTTCCAGTCCCCTATGCATTGGCCTACCTGCCTTCAGTGTTCAGACTGCTGTCTTCGCACTCACTCCCTGGTTTAGCTGAGATGCGGCATGAGTTCGGACAGTGGGTGTTTTAAAGCTGCTAATGGACAAATTTCTGAAGAGCACTAGCGCCCATCAGCTAATTTATGCCTTACTTTTAGACAATGAGGAGCTATTGGTTTTTTTCAGGCAGGGTGAGAAGGTAGGGGGCAGGGAGCGCAGTGGGAGGGGTGAGTGTGTGGCTGGAACACAGCTGTGCTTGAAGGAGATTAACTGGAGAAAGTGTTTGAAAGCTACAGGGCAGAGGGGCAGGCTGTCTGAAGGAACTCTTCTAACAGCTACATGCTCAATCACGTGGGACCTTAGATGTGCTTTTGGAGATTGGAGAAGAAACGAGTAATCCTGGCCAAGAAATTCAGGGTGTGCGTGTAACTTAATTCACAGACATGCACGTGTGCACACATGCACACACACGTACAGAGACATGCCCACACACTCCTGCACAAGCACTCGGTTCCTTTAGGTTATGGGTTTTATCATTTCTTGAAATC